GAGAGAGAGAATATAAAATTGTGTATCAAAATAATGCCCTTCAAAATAAATAAATAAATAAGCAAACAAGCAAGCTGCCATGTTGTTTTCGGGCAATAAAATGAACATTTCAGTAGAAAGACTTTTTGTTTCCTGCTGAGGCTTGCAGGTAAGTGTATCAAAATAATGCCCTTCAAAATAAATAAATAAATAAGCAAACAAGCAAGATGCCATGTTGTTTTCGGGCAATAAAATGAACATTTCAGTAGAAAGACTTTTTGTTTCCTGCTGAGGCTTGCAGGTAAGTCAAAGAGAAAATTTGTTAACCCCTTCTGAATGCTCCTGACAAACTTCTGTTAGTTCTTCCTGTTCAGTAGCTCTGTGAGGGGAATTACTATCAGCGGTGTAAAACATTTTGAAGCTTAAACCTTCCTCAAATCCTATATGGAGCAAGGAAAATGTACTCAAGCGCATGCAGATTAAATTCTTAAGGTCCACACTTGCTGTACCCAGGAGTGTTCCCAATGCAGTATTCAGGCTCAAGACCAGAGGAGGATATAAGGCAAGTCATGACATACTGGCTCAAGAATAAACTCTTCTCCACAGGACTGGTACCATGAGTTCTGATAAATAATTATTTTTTACCATACATACTGACAGTGGAACAGACACTAAGGTTATCTGGGACTTCCCATGGCATCTCTTCTTTTCTTTGGTTACAATCAAACTAAAAGGATAGTCCTTCAAAACTAAATGATAACTGAATACAAGTAGACCTCACCTAATGACCACAATTGGGACTAGAATCTTAATCATTGAGTGATGCGGTCATTAAGTGAGACGCCCACGTGACTGCTTCACTCAACACCCACAATCTTGGCACTCCTGGGTCATTAAGTGGATGGAGTGAAAATGCTGCCTGCTGAAGGGAAAATGCTGCCTCCTGGCAGGCAGCCCTTTCATTCTCAAACGTTCCTGCAGCCCACTGAAGGGTTTGCCCTCCCCTTCATGCACAGAGGGGAAATCCTTTGTGGGGCTGAGGAACGGAGCTCAAATCTTCAGGATTTGAGCTCTGTTCCTGCACACCACTGAGAGGTTTCCCCTCCCCCTCCTTTTGCTGTTATAGACTTACAGGTTTTATAGGTTTGTTTCATAGTTTAGTTTAATAAATTTTATGTTTTGTTCTCTTTTATAGATTAATAAGCTTTTATAAGACTATAGGTTGAGTCGTTCACCTTACTTTTATAGATTTTAGTTATATTTTATTTCTATTTGCTGGTCATTGACTGAATAAAGTTTCTTCTTCCTCTTTTTGATTAGTTCTACAGAAAGGGTAGGACTTCTAGACAATCTTCATAAAATATCTTTGGGCTGATACAAGCAGAAACAAACAATTTATAAAAGATCATGCAATAATAAGTAATATTTTGAATGTCTGCTCTGGGATAAATACAAAAAAAAAAAGATATCTCCCCCTTTGCTTTGTTATTAGATATTTACTTCTATGAAGAGGGAAACACTAAAAAATTCATACTGTAGAGAGTGAATTTGTTCATACAGCAAAATTTAATTAATAAGA